GCTTTTCAAAGCTGACTGTCCCTTCACATCACAAAAACCTGGTGACTAGTAGCAGCAAAAACCTGATAGATCCTATTTTATGGAACATCCTGTCCCAGGCCAGGGAGGAGGGGACTGGAAGGACACCTGTGATATCCTTGAACCCTCCCTGCCTTGTGCGTGTTGGCACGAAGGAGGCTGTACCACACATCACATGCTAAATTGAACCAAATTAGATTAAATGACTTAGAAGGTCAAGCAGGAGGTTTGTTATAAAGCCAGGTACTAACCTCTGTTCACCAAGACTGATGTTTTAAAACCCTGGTAAGATAAGTAAATATCATGCTGATACTATGGGTAAATAAAACAAAGCAGAAATAAAAGTGTATCTACTTCTCAAGGTGAAGAAGAAGTTCAGTTGCAGTTTGTGCTCAGCCAGATCGTGTTCTACCTGCTGGTACGTACAGGTGGCTGCTGTGCTGGCTCAAAACCCCTGTCCTGGGCTTAGGAAAAGCTGAAATCAGAAGAGCTGCTGCTATCTGGGCCCAACCTGCCAGACTCAGCTCCAGTGTCTGAGTTGTGCTTAGACTGTGGCCTCTGGACACCTGCAAGGTTTGGGCTTACCCTGGCTCCGAGCCTGGTCTGAGTCCTAGCACCAACCAAGGTGGGCAAGTCTGACCTTGAGACCAAGTGCCTGCACAGAAGGGGATCGTCCTGTTTGTTGGTAGTGACACACCACCCAGGGACAGCCAGAAAAAGGACCTTCAGAGTTGACTCCAAGTCTTCTACCCAAGCACAAAGTTCTGACTTCATTACCGTTAACGACCATTAATGCATAGTCAGTGTCTACAGAGCAGTCTCAGGAACCAGCGGGCCCTGATTACACCAGGTTTGGGTTTAACCCTAAATCTCTTCCAACAGAGTAGTCCAAAACCAGTCAGTTTTCCCTTTGTGTACCAAAACGCGTACCCCAACTGCTCAGGAAATCTTTGCATATGAGGAGTTTCACTGCCATTTTTTAGGACAGTATCATACAACTGGAAACCTGTTAAGAGACTCCATTCCCCAAATCCTTAGGCTGTACTTGTGTGGGGCCCAGTGATAAACACCCACTGGGCTGATGATCTCCCCATCCTCTCCCAGCAGTGTGTCTCTCATCAATCACTGCTGCACCGTAACTCCCCAAGGTTGGTCACCCACCAACTGGGTCTCCCATGCCAAAGAGGAACCCCCTTGCACAAGTGAGAATGATTTCCAAACCAGCATCATCCCCCGGAGCACCCCCAAACATCTGAACCCAATGGGTAAATGCATCTCGATTGAACAGGATGAGCCCAGAAGAGACACCAGAGCCCTGAGCTTGCCTCTGCTACGACTCACTCTCTTTTTTCCCCACCTAACATCAAGAAGACAACCCTTACATGCTTTCTTTGGAAAGCAAATACATACACATACTTATTTAAATAAAAACACAAACACACTGTAAAAAGCTCAATACAATATTTGCAAGATGTGCTACGGAAACTCCCGTCCCTATGAGTCCTGAGGAAGAAAGTCAAAAATATTCCCTGCGTGGTCCCCTCCCCCTGTGCCCACTGACTGTGCATTGCCATCAACGCTCCCACTTGTTTACCACATGGTATATGGAATGATTTTCAGAAGTGCAGTGGAAAACCAGCCAAATTAAAATGAAAAAGACACCCCAGAACAGTGATGTCGTGTCATTTCATTATTTAAGCAGTAGGAGATCTTTGGAGTATTTCCAAATATAAGGAATTTTAGGGATGAATTAACATAGCCTGCATGAATAAACCTTGGTTTTCCAATGCAGTTTTTTCCAGAAGGGAGAGTGGGTTTTGGAGATAGCGGATGAAAAGCAATCTTTCCAAATCAGGATCACAGGGAAAGGTTAAAGCTCCATTAACCAGAAGCCCTGGCTGTGCTTTTGCTCCTTGCTGGAAGCTGCAGGAACAGTGTCTCCCTTCTGGATGAGGAATGGGAGGTCACGGTGTTTGTAAAGAGACTTTTTTTTTTAAAGGAGCACACAGTTTAATGCCTCAGTACTAAAACATTCTGATGTCTCCCACTCCGGTCCCCTCCGGAGAGAGAACTGCAGTGGCCACCCCTTAGCACAAGGTGGTGCTGAAGAAATGTCTTAATTTGCGATATTTGGGATTTGAGAGCTTGGATGGATGGATGGATGGATGGATGTCAGCCCTCACCCTCGGAGATCTATAAGGCTGCTGCCCTGCTTTCCCAGCGCAAGGACACAACTCTGGAATACCCAAAAAAAGCCCCAAGCCCCCGCTGCCTGAGGGGACATCACCGATCCCTTTCTTTAGCTTTTCAAAGCTGACTGTCCCTTCACATCACAAAAACCTGGTGACTAGTAGCAGCAAAAACCTGATAGATCCTATTTTATGGAACATCCTGTCCCAGGCCAGGGAGGAGGGGACTGGAAGGACACCTGTGATATCCTTGAACCCTCCCTGCCTTGTGCGTGTTGGCACGAAGGAGGCTGTACCACACATCACATGCTAAATTGAACCAAATTAGATTAAATGACTTAGAAGGTCAAGCAGGAGGTTTGTTATAAAGCCAGGTACTAACCTCTGTTCACCAAGACTGATGTTTTAAAACCCTGGTAAGATAAGTAAATATCATGCTGATACTATGGGTAAATAAAACAAAGCAGAAATAAAAGTGTATCTACTTCTCAAGGTGAAGAAGAAGTTCAGTTGCAGTTTGTGCTCAGCCAGATCGTGTTCTACCTGCTGGTACGTACAGGTGGCTGCTGTGCTGGCTCAAAACCCCTGTCCTGGGCTTAGGAAAAGCTGAAATCAGAAGAGCTGCTGCTATCTGGGCCCAACCTGCCAGACTCAGCTCCAGTTGTGCTTAGACTGTGGCCTTCTGGAGACCTGCGAGGTTTGGGCTTACCCTGGCTCTGAGCCTGGTCTGAGTCCTAGCACCAACCAAGGTGGGCAAGTCTGACCTTGAGACCAAGTGCCTGCACAGAAGAGGATCGTCCTGTTTGTTGGTAGTGACACACCGCCCAGGGACAGCCAGAAAAAGGACCTTCAGAGTTGACTCCAAGTCTTCTACCCCAGCACAAAGTTCTGACTTCGTTACCATTAACGACCATTAATGCATAGTCAGTGTCTACAGAGCAGTCTCAGGAACCAGCGGGCCCTGATTACACCAGGTTTGGGTTTAACCCTAAATCTCTTCCAACAGAGTAGTCCAAAACCAGTCAGTTTTCCCTTTGTGTACCAAAACGCGTACCCCAACTGCTCAGGAAATCTTTGCATATGAGGAGTTTCACTGCCATTTTTTAGGACAGGATCATACAACTGGAAACCTGTTAAGAGACTCCATTCCCCAAACCCTTAGGCTGTACTTGAGAAGATTTATCCATAAATACAGGAGTAGCTGTTATCCAAACCCAAGTATCCCCTCACAGCTCAGAACCTGAACTCCCCTCCCTGGCACAACCCCTCCAGTCTGACCAGACGTGTTATTAAGATTCAGCTGCAGAAGTTGCTCCCCTTCAAAGCTCAGAACACGAGCACTTGCCACGCCCTCCAGTCTGACCAGACGTGTTATTAAGACTCAGCTGCAGAAGCTGCTCCCCTTCAAAGCTCAGAACTCCTCTTCAGCGCGAGCACTTGCCACACATTAAATTGCACGCATGCAAATCGCATGAAGTTCAACCAAGCCAAGTGCAGGGTCCTGCACCTGGGATGTGGCAATCCCAGGCACAAATACAGGTTGGGTGGAGAATGGCTGGAGAGCAGCCCTGAGGAGAGGACCTTAGAGCCCCTTCCAGTATCTGAAGGGAGCTCCAGGAGAGCTGGGGAGGGACTCTTGGTCAGGGAGTGTAGGGACAGGACAAGGGGTAACGGTTTTAAATTGGAAGAGGGGAGATTTAGATTAGATACCAGAAAGAACTTCTTGGCTGTGAGGGTGGTGAGAGCCTGGCCCAGGTTGCCCCGAGAAGCTGTGGCTGCCCCATCCCTGGAGGGGTTCAAGGCCAGGCTGGATGGGGCTTTGAGCAACGTGGTGTGGTGGGAGGTGTCCCTGCCCAGGGCAGGGAGGTTGGAACCAGATGATCTTTAAGGTCCCTTCCAACTTTAACCACTCTATGATTCTATGATGCCTCCTATTCAGTTTCATAGTTGTGACACTGGGATTTCACCAAGGATCCATGCAGACCAGCATTCCTTGTCACCGTGTCTGAGGAAGCATGTAGACTCTTTGTTTTTAATGGGGCTCCCCAAAGTTTAACAGCAGCTCTGCAGCAGCCTGTTTCCAACAGAAGGTTCATCCAGGAGCTCCTCCGCCTGTTGTTGCCCAGAGAACCCAACACACCACTGTTTTATCCACATCACTGGGTTGGCTGTGGATGTGGTGGGACTGGCCCTTCCCTCCACCCTTCTCACAACTGAGACTCGTACCAGCTGGTTCAACCTCACAGCAGGTCGGTGATCTGCAGCACACCCCTGTGTCCTGTCCATGCTGGTCACATAAGGTCCACCAGTCTGATCCACAGCCTGCTGGGGTTAAACTGCATAAGAACAGCTGCATTTGGACCACCTGGCATGGACCTCTTCTCAGAGAAGCTCCACAGGAGACATACTCATGTCTCAGCTAGAGCCCTGCTCCACAGACCATACCTATTATGTCACCTGCTGTGTAATCAAAAGGCCCTTTCACACACTGCTGATCTCAGAGATCAGAAAAGAAGGTACCCAAGAGGCACATAAGGTCCATACGCAGCACCAGGAGATGTGATGTGACTGGTACTGATGAAGAAATGACCTTTTCTCAACTGTATTTCTCACTGGGGTTGAGCAGGAATCCTGCAAATGCCTAAACATGAATTACAGTTCTAGGGGGAGGTGTCCCTGCCCATGGCAGGGGGTTGAAACTAGATGATCTTTAAGGTCCCTTCCAACCCAAACCATCCGATGACTCTGTGACTTCCACACAAAACAGAAGCTGGCCAATGTTGCATCCCTTACCTGCTCCTGCAGACCCCAGAGACGAGCGACAGCAGGAAGGTCAGCAGCACGCAGGCAGGCACGGAGGCCTGCTTCATCAGCTCCACGATGATGCTCGCCTCAACGCCATCCGACTGCCAATGGGTCAGCTTGATGGGCCCATCGTCATACCTGTCCGTCATGAACAGTATCTTACTCTTGGCAACTGTGTCGAAGATGGCAGACAGCTTTGAAGCATCCTCTGCCCTGTGCTCGGTGGAGGAATCTGTGTCCAAAGGGGGATGGAGATGGGAAAGCATGACTTTGCGCTGGTCATAGTATATTAAGATGATTTCTTCCTCCTTAGGGTTGGCAGAGTGTTTCTGAAGGGTAGAACAGCTCCAGAATTTGCTGTCTCCCTCTTTGCTTATCTGAATCCAAGGCTCATGGGAGAATATCGTCCCAAGGTCTTCCAGGAACTCACTCAGACTTTCTTCTTTCTCCTGTTTGCTGTTGCTCCATGAGCCCAGCACAGAAACGCTGACTTTAGTCACCCGCTGGACCTCACCGAGATACTGCTTCACCTGGACAGGAATGAAAGGGAAGTGGACCACGGCGAGGATGACAGCGGAGTTCTGCTCTGAGATCCAGCGGCCGATCAAAATGCCACTTTCTGCTGAGGCACAGCACGAGGGAAAGAAGACCTTCAGCACCATGGCAGCGATCCTGGAGGAACGGCACACCTGCCAATACACAGAGAAATTAAACCTGAGAATGGCGATTAAACGCAAGGAAAATTTGAGCTGAGCAAAGTCACTGGTGAGGAGGCACAACCAAGTTCTAAAACACCAATTCCAACCACTCGTGTAACGACACTAGTGACATCCAACAGATACACACACATCAGAGGAGGGTTTGGGAGGTTCCTGGTATTCTGCAGTCTTTGAAGTGAGGGGTGGTGAACCTGGAGTTTTCAGCAAAGCCCTTCTCTGTGTCCTGGAACAGTCTTTCATGATGCTGGGAGGGCTGGAGCCCCTCTGCTGGGAGGGGGGGCTGAGAGAAGTCTCCAGGGAGACCTTGGAGCCCCTTCCAGTCCCTCAAGGGGCTCCAGGAAAGCTGGGGAGGGACTCTGGATGAGGGAGGGGAGCCCTAGGAGGAGGGGGAAGGGTTGGACCCTGCAAGAGGGGAGATGGAGCTGAGCTGTGGGGAAGAACTTGTTTGGTGGGAGGGTGGTGAGAGCCTGGCCCAGGTTGGCCCAAGAGGCTGTGGCTGCCCCATCCCTGGAGGGGTTGAAGGGCAGGTTGGAGGGGGCTTGGAGCAACGTGGTGTGGTGGGAGGTGTCCCTGCCCAGGGCAGGGGGTGGCACTGGGTGGGCTTTGAGGTCCCTTCAAACTCAAAACCATTCCATGATTCTATGATGGTACACTAGTGAGCACAATCCATCGGACCACCCAAGATCAGGAATCCATCCAGCCTTGGATCTTGGATCTGACACTGGACGCCCTCGAGCACTTCCTAGGGAAGGGACGACATCGTAGCACACGGTGATGCCTTGGGGGAATATCTCCTCCCATTACCAACAATCAAATATTAGTTTATGCTATAAAGCCAGATAATTTCAGAGCCTCCTCTATCATCTGGGAACCGGGAGCCACGCTCTGCAACAAACCCACTGAACAGCCTTGCTCAGATCACTCATCTCCTCTCATCTCACTCCCCTCATCTGGAAAAACAGACAATAATTTTGTGAAAAGGGACCATAGTGATTAACTGATTGAAGTTTACGAAGTAGTCTTAATTCATTAGACACAAGATCCTAAAAAAGGGGAAGCATCTCCGCTTTATCAGTGTTCTTCACCTACAATATTTTTCATCGTGTCATTAAGAAAACGTCTCGAAGGCTTTGTGAGGCTCTTACAAAAAGGAGCTTGGAGGCACTTGACAACGTCTCTTTAAATAAGGTGGAGGTTTCTAACAGAAATATAATTGCAGTAAGGAGGGCGCTGGCGCAGAGCAGTCGGTATCCGGCGCCCGTTGTCCTTCCCCGTCCTTCAGTGCTTTGTTAGAGATGTGAAAACTCGGCAGGCCCCGGGGCTGGCTCCTCTGCCAGGCACCCACTCACTCGGAAAGAGCAACGCAGAGGGTATTTATAACACGGAGAGAGGATGCACGTCCTGGAGGTCCCTGGTGGCTTTGTTTTAATCTCCTTTTAACACAGGACAATTGATGTAGTAAATTCAGCACCCGGCAATTTGTTGGGAAGCGGGGAAGGCGAGTGATGAACCTGCTCCTGAGCTCAGCAGTAGGGACTGTCTGCTCAGGGATGAGCCCTCGGCCCCTCCAGCAGCAAGGTGAAGTCTCACTCCTCCCACGGCAAAAAACTTCACACTCACTGCATTTGCAAGGAGTAATGGGGTTTTGGTTTTTTTTTTTTTTCCCTGAGACTGAGTTTTCCGCTTTTACTGCAAAACTGCAAAGCACGCCCCAAAACTTCCCCTCAAACAGGCTGCTTATGAGGGGTTTTGTTTGTGAGCACCGTCCCTCTCTGCCCCATGGACCCTCCAGCCCATGGCAAGTTTGGAGGCCACAGAGGGGCTTCCATCTCTGCCTCCCTGACCAGAGGGATGACCCGGGAGAGGTGGAGTGTGTGAGTAAGCAGCATCTCAGAAGGATCTCAAATAATGTGTGTTTTTCCAAGGGATTGCAAGGCTGCAGCAGAAGGATGGATCAAAGGAAGGGTAGAAAAATGCCACATGTGACACCCAGAGACTGTCAGGGTGCAGGACACCGGGCACGGGAAAGACCAAAGACCTGCAGTACAATTGAAAAATGTAACCTTTCACCAGACAGTGACCATTAGATCCAAATGGACTGAAAACCAAGACAGCCAAGCTTATTTTTCATTTCTATTGAAATAGCTAAGACTCAGGTCATTTTTCAGTTTGTTGGGTGGGTTTTTTTAAGACCGTGAAGGACACATACCCTGTCACTCCTCACACACATAGGAAACTTTGGTGAAAATCAGCGAACAGACATAATTAACTAGACTGGTCCTTAAAAAAAGTTTGAAATAAAACCTCTCCCCTACATTGTGCTTTTCTTTCTTTTGGAAAGACTGCAGTTTGCCCAGCCAAAACGGTCTTCCCTTCACACCTCTCCTACCTCCTTGCCTAACTCAGATTGTTAAAGAAACATTACCAGGTGAGATGAGATTTGCTTCACAATTTAACTTTAGGTTTGAAAAAAGATTATTTTTTTTTCTCCCTAAAACCCACAGACATATTTCCAGGAAAAAGGAAGCAAATTGTATCAATACAGGGGCTCTGAAAGGGAAAATAACAGATTGAACGTGTCAGGAATGTACATATAAACATATGCTCAGAAATTATTTTAAATAATATAAATTTAGCTAGAGCGATACAATTCTAGCTATACCACAGTACCAAGAGCTTACACATGAAGTTTACCAGTAACTGAATACTCTGAAAACTGAAATTGAGCTCAAGGTCAAACCCAGAAAAAAATGAGGAAGTACTTGAATGGGTTTTTTCAGTATTTCTATTTTAATTACCAAAGCTGCCACCAGTAACATTGAAAAGATAACTTTTTAAAGTTGAATGTTGTCTTTTTCCTCAAGAGGTGTCAGAGTTGTTTGACAGTATCGTTACAAGAGACTTTTGGTGTCCCTGCACAGCTCTTCTTCTTAAAGGTTTGTCCCTCCTGTGGACACTTTCAGAGAAGACTTATGAACTGATTCTTTTAATTCAAACGTTTATTTTTTCACTGAGGTTTTTTTTTAAAAAAAACAGACACAGTCATCTGGGAAAATTTCTCATGGAGGAGAAACACTTCTCGTCCATCTCATTTTTCTGGGTTTTCCTTCATACCTTCCCCAACCTTTTAAATTAACTTACATTTGATTCAGCTACCTACCTTGGCTATACCTCAGGTCAAATCACACCCAAGCCCATCACCTCTCCTCTGGCTGCTGCAGATATGGCAGAGAGACTCTGATACAATTTTCAGGCTGTACAAAATACCTCAGTAGCCGAAAACCAGCCAATCAGCTATCCATACATTAATGTGGCATAAGGTAGTAACCAGGGAGCTGGCCTGGGAGCTCAGGCAGCAGGGCTGGTATTCCCAAATCCACAACTGGTCATAAATCCTACCTTATTCATTTCAATAAACTGTCTGAAATCTAAAGTTCACGTTTTAAATGTCTTCACAGACGTTTCACTGCTCCTAATTTTAATAGAAATACCCCCCAGCATAGTCCCTGGTCATAAAGGGCCTAAAAGGGTCTTCCAGATCTGCCCATTTCTGCTGGAATCCCCCAGCTTTTCCCTGAGATGCCACAGACCATCAACACAATGAACTTGGACACAGCAAAACCGACAGTGCACACCACCAACTGCAAGCATCAAATGAAGGAAGGACCCCAGGACTGATTAACGTCAGAACTGTAGACAGAAAAGCAAAGGAGAACAGCAGCATGTTCAGGCTGAGAGAGTTGAGGTTGTTCAGCCTGGAGAAGAGAAGGCGCCAGGGAGACCTTATTGTGGCCTTTTAGAACTTGAAGGTTTTAAGAAAGATGGGGACAAACATTTTAGGAGAGTCTGTTGTGATATGATAAGGGGTAATGGCTTTAAACTAAAAGAGGGAATACCTAGACTAGATGTAGCGAAGAAATCGTTTACAATGAGGGCGGTGAAACACTGGCCCAGGTTGCCCAGAGAGGTGGGAGATGCCCCAACCCTGGACACATTCCAGGTCAGACTGGACAGGGCTCTGAGCAACTTGGTTTAGTGGAAGATATCCCTGCTCGTGGCAGGAAGTTTGGAGATTACCTTTAAAGGTTTACTCCAACCCAAGGAACTCTGTGATTCTATATGGCCCTGGTCTCACCACGCAAGCTGCCCCATTGCCACCAGACATGTCAAGGGATGCCAACCCCTTGGCAAACTCACACCTGAGCATCCCAAGGTCTTCCTATGGGGCATGGGGCCACCAGGCCAAGAGATAAATCACTGACAAGCTGGCCATGGCTGTCCCAGGGGAGCAGGAGCAGCGCTCCCCCCCTGCAGAGCCTACTGACTTCTTGTTTCTCCACTTTTCTGAAGTTTTTAAATGTTATCTTAGGGCACAGAAAGGCTGAGAGACAGCAGCAGTGAAATCACAAAATCATCGAATGGTTTGGGTGGGAAGGGACCTCAAAGCCCACCCAGTGCCACCCCCTGCCCTGGGCAGGGACACCTCCCACCAGACCAGGTTGCTCCAAGCCCCCTCCAACCTGCCCTTGAACCCCTCCAGGGATGGGGCAGACACAGCTTCTCGGCCCAACCTGGGCCAGGCTCTCACCACCCTCACACCAAACAAGTTCTTCCCCACAGCTCAGCTCCATCTCCCCTCTTGCAGGCTCAAACCCTTCCCCCTCCTCCTAGGGCTCCCCTCCCTCATCCAGAGTCCCTCCCCAGCTTTCCTGGAGCCCCCCTTCTTTAGGGACTGGAAGGGGCTCCAAGGTCTCCCC